GAATTCTGGGAGTTGAAGTGCACACTATTTTAAAAGCTGCCAACATTGAGAAACATTGGAATAACATTGGATATCAAGTACTGGTGCTCCTCGACTTAACGAACACAGTTGAGCCCAAAATGTCTGTTGCTAAGTGAAAGATTTGGCTAATGAGTTTTACCCCCATTTTATGACTTTTCTTGCCACGGTTGTGGCTTGTCAATCTGGCTTCCTTAGGTCACAACTAGGGATCACATGAGGCTAGGCATACTGCAACCGTCATAAATATGAGTCAATTGCCAAGCGTCAGAATTTTGACCACAGGGGTACTGAAAAGCGGTCTTAACTCACTTTTTTCAGTGCTGTTGTAACTTGGAACGGTCACTAAATGAACTGTTGTAAGTCGAGGACTTCCTGTACAAATGGCTAGGAAATTAGACACTTTTTTCCACCATTCGAATGAATTGCATAAATGGAATTAAAGTTTCACGAAGGTAATGAAATTAATTAAATTATGTCCATTGCATCATGGCTTACGACCATAAAGACCAGGCTCCATTATGGTCGTTAAGTCGAGGAATGCCTGTCTAAAAGAAGGCTAATATAATCCATGGGAGGGAGGGAAGAACGAAATGGACGAACGCAGATGAAGTGATTGGAATAGCAGATAAATATCTACGGAGATTTTCAGGTCGTGGTTCACCAAAGGTGCTTTTTTTAATCTCAAGAGGCAACTGTCAGGATTCCGGCAGTTCCTCCAATTAAATCATGAGCCTCGAGCCACAGTCCCAACACTAAAAAGGATTTATTAGAAGTTACCATGCCGGCATTAACGTGGGTGTAGCTGACTCTGAGATACGTAGTTCACTGTCACCCTTGATCCTGCTTCCCCCCCCCACCCCTGTGGGTGTATCATCCAACGAAAAAAACCTCCATAGCCAAGAGTCATCAATCATGCTCTCCAATTAGATTTTGCGCCAGCAAAAGCTTCAGTCATCGAATCAGCCTCTGGAGAAAATATGAATGGAATGTACTTTCGATTCCACACTGCCGCCTGCTCTTTGAAACTCCCCTCCTTTCTTTCTGTTGTCAACTATAAAACGTGTATACAAAATGTTTTATGAGTTGCTGTTGGTTTTTTCTTTGAAGATGTTTTGCTTCTCATCCAAGGAGCTTCTTCAGTTCTGCCCGGATGGTGATGGGGAATGGAAAGAAATGACATTTTTCTTTCCAGAAAAATTATAAACTACAGGAACCATTTGTGATTCAGTTTGAGATGTAGGCCTCAACGACTCTCTAATGGACGCCAAGGAGCAGCTGACTACAAGGTCTCAGGGTTCCTGGCCGTTACCCTAATTAAATCATGATCCTCGAGCCAAGCTTCAAAAGAATCCAAAAGATTTCTTAGGAGCAACATGTCCATTAAACCCGTAGGAAGCCAACTCTGAGACACGTCATTTACTATCACCTATGACCCTTGTTAGGGATACAACACCCTAGCAGAACGTGCAACGGCAGTCAAGCAGACAGAGAGTGTGTGTGAGATAAAGCGTTGTTGTAGCTTTAGTAAGTACTCAGTAAGTACTCAGTGTTGTAGTACTCAGTAAGACAGATACACTGTGCAATTAAATAGTTTTTATTCCAGCAAGAGTTATAGCATAGTCAAAGCAGTCCAAATGTCATACACTAAGTTCAGACAGTCCGAGGGTTATTCAGTTTGCAAAGTCCAGTGTAGAAAATAGGTCATTCAACTTACAATCAGTCCAATGATGTATCTCTTTTGCAGTCAGAGATATGAAGCAAAATCAAACCTTCTTTTCTTCTCTCAGCAAACGTACACAGTAATCACCATCAATCCTTCTCTGTCAGCATTCCAGTAAAAGCCTGCGAACAGTGAGCTCTCTTGCTCCCTCTTATGGTGATTTACAACCGCACCCAAAATACTTGGCTTACAGTTTAAAGTGACACACACATTTAAACTAACTAACATATATTTAACCAAACTAAGTTAGGTAACTAATGTTATCCCTAACAACCCTGTTTCCCCCCTCCTCCCCCGGGTGTGTCATAAATTAGATTCTCCAACCGTTTCACAGGCTGGGTGTCATCAATCACACTCTCCAATGAAGGATTTTCGAGGGCAGAAGATCCAACAATCTCCACAAGATAAGCGTGGAATGTGCTTCTGGCCTTCATCTGTTGCCCTGCTTCCTCAGGCCTTTCCCATCCTCCTCCTTATGGCAACTCGGAAACTGGCATAGGAATGATTTACGAGTTGACACAAAGAGTATAAATCCTCCCATTCCCCACCACCATCCAGTCAGAGCTGAAGAAGCTCCTCGTTTGAGAAGCAAAACGTCTTCCAAAGAAAAACCCCAGGAAGTCCAGTTGCCTCTTGAGGGGGGGAAAACAAACCAACAAACCACCTTTGAGAACAGCAGATAAAATTTGAGGTTCCCATTTTCCTTTCCACCCCTGCAGCCTCTCCCTACAATCGTTGCAAAGGCAGCATCTACCTGGTCTTCGACTTCTGCGAGCACGACCTGGCCGGCCTTCTCAGCAACGCCCACGTCAAGTTCACGCTCTCCGAGATCAAGAAAGTGATGCAGATGCTCCTGAATGGCCTCTACTACATCCACCGGAATAAGGTTGGGCTTCTTTAGACCCCGGAAATATGAGGCTGGTCTTTCCCGGAAAGAAAACAACAAGTGTGTTTCTCTCTCTCTCCATCTTTTCAAACCCCTTCTCAGATCCTTCACCGAGACATGAAAGCCGCCAACGTGCTCATCACACGGGACGGCGTCTTGAAGTTGGCCGATTTTGGCTTGGCCCGAGCTTTCAGCCTGGCCAAGAACAGCCAGCCGAACCGCTACACAAACCGGGTGGTGACTTTGTGGTACCGTCCTCCCGAGCTGCTGCTGGGTAAGAAGGAGGCGGTCAACCTTTGGGTTCTTCTCCTCAGTTTGTGGACTGATGGAGCGTCGGTCTTCTGGAGCCCCATGTGAGGCTCCAGTGCCCATATGGCTGGGCTGGCTTATAAGATATGGGCCTTAGGTCAACCTTTGGTTTCTGCTCCTCTGCTTAGAATATAGAATAGAATAGAATAGAGAATAGAATAGAATATAGGATAGAATATAGAATAGAATAGAATGTAGAATGTAGAATAGAATGTAGAATAGAATGTAGAATAGAATATAGAATAGAATAGAATAGAATAGAATAGAATAGAATAGAGAATAGAATAGAATATAGGATAGAATATGGGATAGAATAGAATGTAGAATGTAGAATAGAATGTAGAATAGAATATAGAATAGAATAGAATATAGGATAGAATATAGAATAGAATAGAATATAGAATGTAGAATAGAATGTAGAATAGAATATAGAATAGAATAGAATATAGGATAGAATAGAATATAGGATAGAATATGGGATAGAATAGAATGTAGAATGTAGAATAGAATGTAGAATAGAATATAGAATAGAATAGAATAGAATATAGGATAGAATATAGAATAGAATAGAATGTAGAATGTAGAATAGAATGTAGAATAGAATAGAATATAGAATAGAATAGAATATAGGATAGAATATAGAATGTAGGATGTAGAATGTAGAATAGAATGTAGAATGTAGAATAGAATGTAGAATAGAATATAGAATATAGAATATAGAATAGAATAGAATATATGATAGAATATAGAATAGAATAGAATGTAGAATGTAGAATAGAATGTAGAATAGAAGTGAAGTAAAGTAAGGCTGGGAGGTGATTGCCCCTCCCATAAGGTATAAAGGACAGGCAAAGATGACAAAACCTTTGCAGGAAGCAAAGTCATTCGGTTCAGATTCAGTCTTGAAGCTCTTTGTACTTCGGTTGGTTTTCTTTCTAGCTCATTGGACACTTCTGTTATTGGCAGCATTTCACAGAAAAGAAAGGTGGGTGCTTATCTCGAGGGACTGTTTGAGATTCATTACCGGCTGGGAATGAAAACAATTCCCAGCATTGCAATAAAACAAGGCTTGTTTTTAAAATAAGCGTGTGCGTAGTTATGGTCTCAGGAGCCTTGGTCAGAACACCAACTCTGTTATTCTGATATTCTGAAACTTTTAATGGGTTAGATTAGGTTCGTTTCCTGGGCCTATCGGTACTGGGTTCCTTATCCAAACTCCAGCAATCAAAACTCTTATTTCAATTGTTGGCTATGTTGCGGTAATATTTTTTGTGTGTGTGCACGCTGCACAACGGGACAGTGAAATGCAAAGCCGATCGTCGTTTTCCAAAGTTGCTTTTAGGAATCTCCTTTTAGGAAAATTAACTCAGCATTTGTTTCTTTTAAGGAGAACGCGATTATGGCCCCCCCATCGATCTTTGGGGCGCGGGCTGCATCATGGCGGAGATGTGGACACGGAGCCCCATCATGCAAGGCAACACTGAGCAACACCAGCTCACCCTGATCAGCCAGCTCTGTGGCTCCATCACCCCCGAGGTGAGAACCAACAAAGGTCCGGCAGACCTTTGACTTATATAACCATTCAGTGACGGTTCGAAGGACTTAAGACCGTGGTTCACACTTATATGATTGTCGCAGCAACCCCCATGGTCACGTGATCAACATTTGGGTGCTTGGCAACTGTCTCGTATTTATGACGGTTGCAGAGTCCCAGACAAGTCAAGTCCGTGGGGAAGCCAGATTCAATTAATAACCATGTTAGTAAGTGAATAACTGCAGTGATTCACTTAACTGGTGGTGAGAAAGGTCGTAAGATGGCACAAAATTTACTTAACAAATATCTCGGTTAGCAACTTAACAATTGGGGGCCGTAAGTCGAGGACTCTCCCTGTACCTCTTTTCGGTGTTTTCCAACTGAATTTTGGAAGTTAAGTTGAGCCATAACAGAATAACAGAGCTGGAAGGGACCTTGGAGGTCTTCTAGTCCAGCCCGCTGCTCAAGCAGGAGACCCTATCGGATCCCATTTCAGACAAATGGCTGTCCAGAGTCTTCTTAAAAACCTCCAGTGTTTTTCTTCGTATTTTATATATTAAATAAATAAAGAATATAACAAAACCTCCAGTGATGAAGCAGCCACAACTTCTGGTGGCAAGCTGTTCCACTGGTTAATTGTTCGCACTGTCAGGAAATTCATTCTTAGTTCCAGGTTGCTTCTCTCCTTGATCAGTTTCCATCCGTTGTTTCTTGTCCTGCCTTCTGGTGCTTTGGGGAATAGGTTGACCCCCCCACTTCTTTGGGGCAGCCCCTCAAATACTGAACCACTCTTCTCTCGTCCCCCCCCCCCTAGTCCTTTTCCCTAGACTGGCCAAACCCAATCCCTGCAACTGTTTTTTGGGGGTGGGGGGATTTGAACTTAAAGAAATTTGGTCTTCGCTATCCCTGAGCCCCAGATGAACAATCCCTTTGGCTCAAAAATGGGTAAAATTGGAATAATAACAGAATAATACAATTGGAAGGGACCTTGGAGATCTTCTAGTCCAACCCCTGCTCAAGCAGGAGACCCTAGACCATTTCAGACAGGTGACTGTCCAGTCTCTTCTTAAAAACCTCCAGTGATGAAGCACCCACAACTTCTAGTGGCAAGCCGTTCCACTGGTTAATTGTCCTCCCTGTTAGGAAGTTTCTCCTAAGTTCCAGAATGCTTCTCTCCTCAATTAGTTTCCATCCATTGTTTCTTGTTCTGCCTTCAGGTGCTTTGGAGAATAAGTTGACCCCCCACTTCTTTGGGTCACCCCCTCAAATACTAGAATACTGCTATCCTGTGTCCCCCCCCGTCCCCCCCGGGTCCTTCTTTTCTCTCGACGCATGCCGTCTCTTAATTCCACTTTGTCAGAGTGTATGCAGTGTGACCACTATTGTGAGTCAACCCAGGAGCAAAAACACAGCACACACAGAGTCTTTGTCTTTTAGTAATGGTTTATGTACAAGACTACTACATACATATAGACACGTGGTAGGCACATACCAGGCAAGGAATCAGCCTTCGTTACTCTGCACTGAGAACTGCAATGGAGATAGAACACAAGGAGAGAGAGATACGCCCACTCATGGCCTCCCTTATGTTGACAGCTTCTTAAAGGGGCAATAAACCCGCTGACCCATCCTCAGTCTTAAAGGGGCAATAACCCTGCTGACTCATCCCCATTCCATCAACATTTACAGCAGCCTTACAACCTCTGGCCAGCTATGAAATCTCCCAATACCTTAACACCCTTCCTTCTTTCAGGTCTGGCCCAACGTGGACAAGTACGAGCTCTACCAGAAGCTGGACCTCCCCAAGGGACAGAAGCGCAAAGTGAAGGAGCGGCTGAAGGCCTACGTGAAAGATCCCTACGCCTTGGATCTCATCGACAAGCTGCTGGTCCTGGATCCCGCCCAGCGGATAGACAGCGACGACGCCCTGAACCACGACTTCTTCTGGTCGGACCCCATGCCTTCCGACCTCAAGAACATGCTCTCCACCCACAACCAGTCCATGTTTGAGTACTTGGCCCCGCCCAGGAGGAGAGGCGGGCACATGCCCCAGCAGCCGGCCAATCAGGGCAGGAACCCCACGGCAACCAATCAGACTGAGTTCGACCGGGTCTTCTGAATCCGAAAATAGCGTGGAGGCGGAGATTTTTACGCATTGTGGTTTCTTAGATATTTTTTTTTTTATGATTTCCCTCCCCCTTTTTTTTTCTTTCTTTTTTTTTGGGGGGGGGGGGGGGCGACAGAACAATGGGACTAGTCAGATTCGGACGGTTTCCGGGTCTCTGAAAATTGCAAATTTATGGAAAACTCTGCAAGGACCTTAAACTGGAGTTGGAGCCGTGGTGGCCGAGAGCATGTGGCTTACCAATTTATTTTTATTTTTTAAAAACGATTCCCCGAAATACTTTCCCCCCCCTTCCTGGATTTGGAGGGCAGGCAAGGCTGGCTGGCACGAATCGGCTGCTGTAACTTGTCCTATTTCGCTGCAGAGAGATGAGACGTGGCAGAAGAAGGGCTGGGAATCCGATAAAAATAGGTGCAGCTCCCATTCCTGGTCTTCTGGTCAAGATCCCACCCGGGCCAAAGAATTTACCTGGACATTGGTGACCATTGATATGATCCTGATATGATCCTTCAGGCCTGTTTCTTGCAACACGGAAGGGCTGTTCTTTCTTTTTTTTCTCCCCCTCTCCCTCTCGCTTTAATTTTGCAAAAAAAAAACCACCTTTTTTTTAAGGAAAAAAACCTCCTTTTTCCCAGGAGAGTAAAATTCACGACGTGCTTCCTTCCCTTTCGGAAGCTTAGCTCTCTCTCAGAAGGCGAAGTGATTTTTAAAAAACGAAGAAGAAGAAAATAACAACTATCAGCAATCCTGAAAAGTTTGCTGACTTCCTTCCTTTCCCATTTCAAGCTCGTCTCGACTCTTTGATTCTCCAGATCGAACCTCCTTAAATCATGTTTGCCTGTTTTTCGACACTGGGACGAAATCTTCCTCGAATGAATTAAATGGAATGAACACATTTATTACCTGCTTGGGTAGATCGCAACAGAGTTAGTACCTACGGATCATTTAATGTGAATTAGCCCGGGAGAAATGGGAGAAAGTAATGAATGAAGCTGGAAGAACTGCAAAATATATATATATATATATATATATATGATAAAATTAAAGCTATGGGGGAAAAAAGCGAATCAGGAGAGGCTTTTTTTTTTTGTTCCGTTGTCACAAAATCAAACATCCAGAGACACACCAAGCCAATGATTAACTCCATTAACTCTTGTTTATTATGGCTTGTTTGTGAGTTTCTTGCAGCGCGGTGTGCAAAAAGTAAATATTGATGCATAAGGCTGGGAATCCCAGCGTGGTATTGGCCATTCACAAAACTTGCTGAAAATGCACACCCATTTACACACCAAACACACAAATTTTTAAAAGGGCGGGCGCTGCTTGGATTTTTCTTGCAGCTTCTAGGAAGTTTTCTGGCAGGGCTGAATGTGGCTTCCCTGAACTGGCTGAAAAATCAGCTGTTTTTAAACCCCAGTTAAAATAGAAGAATAGAATTACAATTATTAGAATTAGGAATAGAATTGGAATAGAATAAAATAACGATTTAGGATAGGATAAGAATTAGGATAGGATGGGATAGAAGAATAGAATAAGAATTAGAATAGAATAAGAATTAGGGTAAGAATTAGGATAGGATGGGAGAGAATTAGAATAAGAATTAGGATAGGATAAGAATTAGGATAGGATAAGAATTAGGATAAGAATTAGAATAGAATAGAATTCTTTATTGGCCAAGTGTGATTGGACACACAAGGAATTTGTCTTCGGTTGCAGAAGCTCTCTACATAAAAAATACATTCATCAACATAGTAACTAATATATGAATATGAATGTTGACAATGCTGTAACGCTGAAAGTGTTGATATGTTATAAATTGATGGAAAATGTTTAATAATACTTTTAAAAGAAACCATCAAGAACTTAATGATAGTTATAGGATATTAAATAAGCAATCGAATCATACTAGGAAACAATAAAACAATATAAATCATAGATTTACAAGCAACAAGCTTATAGTCATAAGTAGAAAAGGAGATAGGTACTAGAAGGATGAAAAGAAGAATAGTAATGCAGACTTAGTAAATAGTTGGACAGTGTTTTGGGAATGAGTTGTTTAGAAGAGTGATGGCATGGGGGAAAAACTGTCCTTGTGTCTGGTGGTTCTGTGTGCAATGCTCTATAATGTTGTTTTGAGTGTAGAAGTTGAAACAATTTATGTCCAGGATGTGAGGAGTCTGTAAACAAACCCGGTTAAGGCGCAAAGCAGCAACACAATTCACTGTGCGGTTAATGTTTAATTTCTCCCAAAGACCATCCCAGGAATGAGCCAAGCGAGTGAAGCTGAAGCTATTCTGCTGCAGCTCCATAATGGAAAGCAGAAAGATCCAATCATCCCTTCAGGTAGATTTCCTTACCTCCGAGCTCGGGAAGCATGTGGAATAAAGTGAAATTAGAAATCAAAATTTCATTTTGCCACCAGAAGCAAAGCAAAAAGAAAAAAACGGAATGGGGGAACTGTGGCTGGTCCATGTATCTGAGAGGGGGCTGTGTGTGTAGGTGGGCCGGGGTGGGGTGCGTGCTTTGCACGTCCTTGCTTTGCATGGGGGGAATTAATTCGAAAATTTGGGGTTTGCATTCAGCTGAACTCTTTGCATTGGGCTGCAAATTGTGATTTTCTTTTTTATTCGTGTTGCGTTTTTCATTGCTTTCCCCTGCCCTCTTAGGTGAGATGAGCATTGTATAATTTTAAACAAATCAAGACAATAAGTCCAGGGCCGCTTGTGGACTTCAACTCCCAGAATTCCACAGCCAGCCCTTGGGAGGCTGGGAGTTGTAGTTCAGCATCAGATTTGGCAAAGTGGAAAGCCGGCATCTTGATGAGACTGCACAACCATTTATTTTACTTTTTACTTTTATTTATTTTATATTATATATTATTTATTTTATTTTATGTTTTATTTTATTTTATTTTTTATTTTATTTATTTATTTTTCATTTGTCCGGAACGATATGCACAATCTGCCGCTTGGGCCGGGGGTTGGACTAGATGACCTCCTATAAGGTCTCCCCCCCCCCCCCCCCCCCTATTTTTGTCAAGCGATCCTGCAAGCTGCGAGTCCCTCTGTACTCTTCTTTCTATTATCTCTACCAGGCCCACCCAGGCTTGAGGAGAGGGGAATCTGCCCTTGAAAAAGATGGCGACGAGGGCGTCCCTTTTTTTTTTTCGCGCCTCCACTTCCAGGCGCCTGCGCACGGAAGGAGGAGGCGGCGACGACGACTGAGACGGGGGCGTGGCCGTCGAGGCAGCTGCAGCCGCTGCAGCAACGCCGCCGCCGCCGCCGCTCCAAGGGGGCGGGGCTGGCGCTGACGTCACTCGGCTGGCCATGGGCTCGCGCCGGCTCCGGGCTTGGTTTTTGGCGCTCATTCTGCAACCGGCGCCCGCAGCAGCTCCGCCGGCCTATTATTCCTGGGCTTGGCGGCGGTGGCTCAGCGCCCGCCCGGCCCGAGCGCCCAGGATGGAATATCAGGTGAGCTTCGGCGAGGCTTATTCGCAAAGCCACCTCCGCTGGGGTTGCGTCAGCCGGCGCAGGTCTGGAGCGCACGTGTGAGGATCGCGGGCTGGCCCCTGCGCTTTCGCCTAAGGCATGGCTGGACGTGGCGGTGGGGTTAAATCCACGCGTGCAAAAAAAAATATCGGGTGGGCTGTAGAACCTCCTCCTCCTCCTCCCTGTTGCAAAGCAAGAGGCGACCCGGAGTAGCAACTCCCTCTTATTAATCAGTAACAAAATTGCAACGGGTAGCGTTTTTCGTATCCTTTTTATTGTTTGTTTCTTTTGCTGGCAAAAGCTGAATGGGATCAGTGTTCCTTTGGAACCTAGAGAACCTCCCCTAGGGCTGGAAGGGACCCGAGTCCACCCCGTTCCAGCTCAAGGCAGGAGACCTCATACCATCCCGGTCAAAATGATTGTCCAGTCTATTTTTCCAAGAGGCTTTCTTGGTTCACCCACCACCCTTGTTCTTTCTTGGTTTTTGACCTGGGTGACTGAGGAAACTCTACAGACTTTTTAGCTGTGCAATTTGGAATGAAAACTCTTGGAATGGTGTGGGAGGAGGAATGGATTTCCAGAGGAAAATTGCAGAGACCAGGAGCACTGAGGACACCGATAAACCTCCAAGTGGCCTCAACGACCCTCGAAAAGGATGCAAATGACCAGCTGTCTGCAAGGAGGAATATAAATCCTTCCATTCCCCACCATCATCCAGTCAGAGCTGAGCAAGCTTCTCCGAAGAGAAGAGAAGCATCTTCAGAGGAAAAACCAGAAAGTCCAGTTGCCTCTTGAAAAAGCACCTTTGCGTCAACCATGACCTGGATGAATGAGAACCTCTACGGACTTTTAACTACACAATTTGGGATGGACACTCTGAATGGTGGGGGAATAGGAATGGATTTCCAGAGGGGGGAAAAATTGCAGACTGCAGGAATCGTCTGCAAGGAATATAAATCCTTCCCACCATCCAGAAGCTTCTTGGATGAGAAGCAAACATCTTCGAAGAATACAGGAAAGTCCAGTTGCCTCCTAAAAAAGTACCTTTGGGACCTCCAGTGATGAAGCACCCACAACTCCAGGAGGCAACAACGTGTTCTGATCATGCTACCACACAAGGCATTTTATAAGCTAGGGAGACTTGGACAAGAAAATCCTGCTGATGTTGTTACCCAGTCTGGTAACGAAAGGTCCAGAAACCAAATTGAAACAAGCTTGGAGAGCGAACGGCTGCCAAAATCTTTAACCCCTGAGCTAACAAGTCTTCTCTATGATTTCAAGGCATTCCATTGTTTAACTTTGTTGTTTGCTCTTTAGCTGCAATCAGTGCAGGCTGGGAGAGATCAGAGATTTGGGGGGAGGGAGGGGGTGTCTCTCTGGACGTCCCTGTCATGCCCCTGTTGGAATCTGATTCCAAGGGAGAGGTCGAGCAGCTGACAGGGAATGGGAGTGTGGCTCCGGTGGCTGTGGAGGAAACTGGGGAAGGGTACAGTCTGGCTGGGCATTCAGAGGAAGACCCAGGCCCACCCACCTCTTCATCCTAGGGCATGCAGGGAGGAACGGATAAGGGAGCAACGTAGGTTACGAGGGAGAAAAGGGCCCTGATTCCCTTCATTAGCTGCAGCTGGGAAAACAGGATTTTAAAAGGGCGTTTGGGCACAGCACCTTTCTGGAAGCAAAGGGTGCATTATCTTTGTTTGTCAAGTCTTATCTGGGTTCTGGCATCCTCCCAACCGTGTGTGTTTTGTTATCTTTTGAGTTCTGCAATTCCTTATCCTGCCCTGTCTCGTTAATTGCTGCAGCGTGGTTTGTGTTATTTATAATTTATATCTACTTTTGGTTCGGACTGAATTTCTTCCTTTTAAAAACTGTTCTTGGGAAAGTTTTTTCTCCAGCCAATGATAACTGGACATTGGGAGGCCAAGTTGGAGGAATTAAAGGGACTTTACCTACTTTTGGGACTTTGTTGCTTTTGTGCCATGCCCCTTTGGGTCATCACAGTCCCCTCTAAAGACAGCGCTTCCCATCCTTTCAGTGACTGGCGGTTTTCCGGCTACCCTGAACAGTTCTAGTCCTGCCTTAGGCATGAAAGCCATGTTAGAGTTTGCAGCAATCCAACCAGCACCCACGTAAATAATTCAGCAGGATTAATTTGTAGAAGAAACCTCTTTATATACAATAATAGAAAGCATGATGCATGTATACAATACCCATGCAGCTCTTGCAAGAAGCAGAAGCAACCAGAACTCGGAATCACAGCTGCTCTATATTTCTACAGCTCAGTTACCCTAAGCCACACCTAGGCTCCGAGCTGTCTGGCATGGCTCACAACAGGTGCTGTTTCTTAGTCACCAAACAGTTCCCATCGGCTGACTTCTTGTTATGGCTATCCTCGCTCATAATTTCTTATATACTGACAAGCCAGCTAAGTGACTTGGACCCAGTCAGATGGTTGGGGGACTTTGGGCCAGTCCGTCTCCTCAACCCACCTCTCATGGGGTTATTGTGGTGAAAATAGGAGGAGAAAGGTGTGTTTATGTTCCCCTCTTTCAATTGTTTGTATAAATAATAAAGACAGGATACAAATAGATAAAAATAAAAAGCCTATCAGAGCTGGCCTGTGTTCCAAGGGATTTCTTGCAACAGCTTTTATTTTATTTTATGTTTATCAAATTGAGAGACTTCCCATCCCTGGAGCATTTAAAATTCCTGCCT